ACAGCGCCCGGCTGCACAAGAGGGGTCCGGCTCTGAGCAGCCCGGGACAGCTCCCATCCGCCCCACAGCCATGGAGCAGCATAGGAATAAACACAGGAGAAAAGCACTAGAATATAAATAATTTTCTGACTCAGCTTCCTAAACACTTCAGTCACCTATGCTAATGAGCTTAATCACAATCCCTAGGATGCAATGCCATTCCAGAATGAGGGCAAAGAAAACATGTTATCATTCCTGCAATGCTGTTCCAACCCAGCTCACCAGCGTGATGGAAAGGAAAAACAGAAGGACAAAGGATGACACTGTAAAAACAAAAACATGTCTATAGCATTGTTTGATCTTTTACAGGGGACTTTTCACACTCATTCACGATTGTACGTAAAGAACAGATACGTTACTGGACAACTTTCAAATTAATTTATGTTGCTAAAAGCCAAAAGTAAAAGCCGAAGTAAAAATGATGGGAGTCCACCCTCAAAATCCCAAATTTTACCACAGCAAAGCTCAAACAAAAGCTAATTCAATAAGGAAGTGATGCCAGCAAGAATTCTGATCAGGCTCTGGAGGAAGTATGGACACGCATAGGAGCAGGACGCGTTGCTGTTCTAGCAGCGTGTGCAGTGTCCCGCAGAGGCCATCTCTGGCTATTCGACATCATCAGGCAGCTCCTGCTTTCATCCATTGTATGACTCTCACCACCAAACCACAAGCACTTACCAATGACAAAAGTATTTCCATCCTCTCCAACCGCTGTCAGGTTCATTATCTTCCAGCCAGTGTGTCAAATGCCAGCTCCCCAATCAGTCCACCTTTGCAGCTTTTTCTCCCATCCTCAAGGGCCCACGTGCAGTTCCCTCATGTTAAATGTTTCTCCATAACTCAGAGGGGAAAGTGAGCCTTGCAGGATACCCTCACCACCCAGGAACATCAGAGATGTGCCATCGCACTGCGGAGAATAGGACAGCGTGGGGCCCTGCCATGATCCTTAACACCCCCCTCCCTGGGCAGCCAGGTCTTTTGAAGAACAATGTAAAAGAAAAAAAAAAAATCATCACCTTCCATGCATTACCCAAGCTATAGAAAGCCAATCGTTTTCTGTATGCTTCTATGTGTGACAGATCACGCTGCAAGGTGATGCATCCTTCCTATGCTGAGATTCTCTCTTAGCAGATGCACAGAAAATTAAATGCCCATGCTGACTTCAAAGCAGCAGTTTAATTGCTCTGGGCACTTAGAGACACAAATCTTATGTGAAGCCTCCACTCATTAATTGTACCTAATTTAAGTGCATCTCAAACTTTTTTCTTACGTTATTAATAAAAAAATCAGTCTGATGGCAAAATTGCTCTAATCAGCTATATATTTAAATACATGGAAAAGTAGTTTTATGTAATATCTGTATTTTCAATAAAATTGTTTAACTAAAACATCAACAGTATACTCATGAATAACTATTTTCCACTAAAGAAAAAAAACATATATCCATGTGATAACTGGGTACTGTGTAAAGAAAGCAAAAGATGGTGGGTGTCATCTTAAACTTTTCTCCTAGTCCAGTTCTTTAATGCATAAAGTGTTGTGTCTGGTAATTTTAAGAAAAACTTACCAAAAAAAAAAAAGGGGGGGGGGGGGGGGGAAGAACAAAGAAACCTTTGAAGTACTTGAGTGTGCTAATACAGGATGGCGAAATGTACCAGGCACAGAACACTGATGAATAATTGAACCAAATTAACTTTAAAGACTACAGCTTTTAGAAAAATGGAGCTTCAACCTCTCCACTCCCTTCCAGTATTTCTGAAGTCATATTTTATATGGTGCTTTTCATTCAGGTATCACAAAGCAGTTAACAGGACAAATATTATTTGTTTGGCTTATCAAAGGGTGTGCAGCATTGGGTGGCACAGGGCCTGGGTGCGTGGCTGCTGCAGTTCCTGCAGGGAAACACTCACACTAGCACCAGGGACAGCCATGCTGTCATAGAAACCTCCTTCATTTTCCCTTGGAAAAGTTAACTCACTCACCCCCCAGGAATGTCTGATTTATAGGGGAGACCTGAGTCTCTTACAGATATTTGAAATATTACAGACATATATTACTACTTAAATACACTAATCACTAAAGGCAAAACTAGCTGTTGTAAAGGAAAAACATTATTAAGTATCTTCAAAGTACTAAAAAAAATTTAAGTGCACACATCTGTTACAATTTCAATTATACTGACACTGCCATTATTCCACCAAAATAATCTGAGGCACCATCACCAACTCGCTTGTTTAGGCCTGACCCCAGCCCAGTAACCCATGTGGTAGAGCACTGCTCACACCCTGGTTTTCCAGAAGGGGAGCGAGAGGAGAGGCAAACTAGTAACTGGATTTTCAAAGGGTTAAGAGCATCTCAACCACTGGCCTATAGAATTGGAAAGGGGCAACAACTTACACCCGATGAGCATACTTCAAAGTTGATTACAAGAAATTAGTTTACAGCATGATCCCCTGCAGGTCAGCATCATGCAAAAAACTGTCATCAGCTGAACAGTTTGACTTCCATAGCTTCAGCTGGTTTGATGTATTGCCAAAGATTTTATTCTAGATTTGAATTATCCTAAGTCTGTCTTGATAAAGAAAAAAGGTAAATGTCTCAGTTTTATTGAAAAAAAAATGAATTAACCTTATGTCTTTTTAGAAATACATTATCTTTTAAAAGATAATGTAACTAAAAGATAATGCAGTCTTATTTAATATGCAAGATGCATGCAGAGAATCAGCATTTTAGCTTTAGCCAAGACTGTACCAATTCACCATATTGTCAACATTTACTGAGAAAAATGCCTTAGCACACAAAAGCTGACACAGTTCCACCAACTCCTAAGCATGTGAGCTGTCTCCTCAACATTAGTTATACAAATTTAAGTCTCTGCAGAATCTGTCTCTAATTTAGGATTTGTTACGTATTATTTTTTCTATTAGGCACTTTATTCTTCCCCATAATTTTCACAACAAGTAGTTTTGCACACAGGGAAATTATGAATACATTTTTTTTTTAACTTTATTAAATTATGCAGTAAGAACCCATCTCCACACAAGTGTTTCATTTCTGGATAGCAGAGGTATAATACATGAGCCACAGGTGAGTGCGTACCCCTCCCTTCCCCCCAGCTTCCAAGAAATAAAACAGCATGTATAATACACTCCCGGTACTAGGGTACTCCAGACAGATTGTTCATAAGGTTATTTTTAACTGAAGAAAAATAAAAAGGATGAACAGTGTCAAGCATCTTCTTCTGCATACAGATGTTCTTCACTGCAACATTCCAACACCTTCTTTCTTGCAATGCGTGGCACGGCAGAGGGTTCAGGAAGCGAAGGCAGTGGAATGCATTTGCACAGGTATCCTTAGATATAAAGCCTGGGACTTTCCTAATCAGGCAATCAGAATGCAAAAAAGGCCATGTGGCTGTTGAAAATTCTTACACTTCAAAGTGCATGTCCACGGAAAATTGGCAACAGAGGAGAAAGTGAATTCTAAGACCTACTGAGGAGGCAGAGCAGTCAGCATAGTGCAAATACTGAAAATAATACAAGTTTGTCCATTACTTATGCCTGGTGTTAATTTATGTTATCTGAAAATTCCAGCCAAGCCTTGTACTCAGATGAACTGCTAGAAATCCATTCAATTAAATTAAATTCACGCCAGTAGTGAGCTTGGCTCAAATCCTTTAATACTTAAATTTTGTTTGAAAAAATGCTGTAAAGTGTTTTGACTCTGAAAAGTGACTAAAGTACCATAAAACATCTTCCCCTGTCTATCGTTTTCCAGCAACTGTGCGTAATGAATTGACCAAGTTCACAAGAGAGAAACATTTCATAAACAGCTATGCAAATTTATCTGGGTTGAGAACACCAGTGTGCATTTCTGCTTTAGCTATCAGCACCTGTAAGATTCTGTAGTTGTAACTGGATTGTGTTAGGTTTGTTTGCTCTAAGAAAAGGAAGCTGCCTTTTCCTAAAGGTGTCCCACTTTAAAAAGGAAGCAAGAAATCTTTTAGACAACCAACAGATAAGGAGGACATCAATCCAAGTAAGAAGATGCCATTTTTAGAGAGATTTTTCTGACCATAATCACACTTTGAGTGCAGAACTGATTAAAAAACAAAAAATCCTTGGTGGAAGATTCACTAGGGATGCATTATTGAACAACCATCTACAGAAGTCATACGGCAAAGGAAAATTACTTTGCAGAAATCTTTACAGATCTAGTTGAATAAAAATTGGAGAGTCCTTCATTTCTTGGATTATCTGTATACCCCTGTGAACTGAAGCACTACAATTTACAAACGTAAACTAAAAGTATTAGGAAAGTGAAGTAAAAAGCGTATCACTCTACCTCCACCAGAACATCACTTTATTGTTTATCCGTCATCAACAATGTAAAACTCTACTAGGTACTCTATCCTGGTTTTTAAAAAGGTAAAGATTACATTGGATTAGCTACATCGTACGAAAGAAACTACAGCAATCACAGTAGAATGAGATTGGAGGGACAATTTGAATTACAAAAAAGTGTACACTGCAAGCAGAGGGAAGTGCACATTAAATCAAATGCCTGTAGGATTCATTACTTTTAAATGCACAGTGACAATTTTGAGAAACTGTACATAATAGAATCACAGAAATGACTTTAAAATAACCAAAATTACATTTTGCATTTGACCATCCAACTCATAAGTAATCATTGATGTTCTATATTTTCAGTGCTTTTTGGAAAATTTGTTTACCAAACAAAATTTAAGTTGTTAATTTGACTAAACTGTGAAGTAGAAGGATTGAAATAAAAAGTATATTGGAAGTACGCCTAACCTACAAGAAGAAGCCAAGAGGGATGTATGCAAGGAGAGGCTGGGAGGGAGGAGAAAAAGGAAAGAGGAAAGGGAGAAGAGAACAAAGGCTTTTTCTTCTATCTCAGAAGTTCTTCCAATGCAGCATATATCTGATGTACAGCTCTTTGCTTTCAGTCCATTTCTGAAGTTTACATTTTGTAGCCTTTTTCCGTACTAACTGGTCGACTCAACCAGCACTGTTGCCACGCAACGAGAGTAACAAGAATCTGAATGCATCAAATCTTCCCTTGCTGTGATTTCTTCATGGCCCCACTTTTTCTGTTATTCTTTGAACAGGGTTCGGTGTTTCCTGAATTGTTCACAGGGTCAGGTGGAACTGAGTTCCAAATCACTCTGCGGTTTGTAGCATCCCGATTTCTTTCTGCGGCTAACCCCCAGACACGTTTGCAGTTCTTCCGTAGCAGAAACACAAACCGTGCTGTTCAAGCGGTGAGCTTTCACCCTTGACTGTGGGGGTTGCAGACCATTGTGTTTAGTGTATCCCTGAGTGCAGCTATCCTGCAGGATTCACTTCCCAGTGCACCGAGATTCCTAGGTTTCCTCAGATTAAGCCCCAGTATGCATCACCACCGACTGTGGTGCGGCTACGGATGCCTGAGGCCGAGTTGATTCTGGTGGATGTCTGACCTCGCTGAACCAGACCGATCTGCTTTCTCCCTACTCATACCCAGGCAGTCCAACCTTCATACAGCTGAGCCAAGTTATCTAGATTAGTTGCTTCCTTAATCACAAAGTCAACCTATTAAAAAGGTCAAACAAGTAATTAAAAATAAGCTAGATTTTTAAAAATTGTTTAAGTGATTTTAAAATTCACTATTTAACATCACCTGCAAATAAAAAGTTTCAGTGAAAAGATCTATAGCTACCACAAACTTGAATCTTACAGAACTTTGCGTAGTCCACATAAAAAATAGGAATTTGTACTACAGGGGCAAAAAAAGATCATGCATCATCTCATTCATAGCCCCTATCCTGAAATAGTCACAACATTCTCCAATTGCCATCTGGGCCCACTGACTCGATTTCCCAGAGACAGAAGCATGGTTGTGTTGTGCTGGCAAACACAGACAAGTTCTGTCCTTTAGACAGCTGTGCAGATCTCATGTTCTCCCTGGATACCAACAGCTGTGTAACAAATGTTAGCTTACTGATACACAAAAGGCAGTTTTATCCAATTCATGAGTTTGTCTAAATCTATGATATAGGAAACAAAAGCATTTGATAAAAAAAACAAACGCAGCAATACAAGGCAGCAGCATATCTTGATTTGTGGTGGAATATAAACCACTCATCTCAAAAGGGACCCCCCCATTCACACAGGTTTTTAGTCTTTATGGCACACTTCTGCATGCACACACACATGCTTACTCCCAAATAGGGAGCAAGGACTGGTATTGGAACTTTACTATTTTCAACTCACCTGTTCAGCAACAGACATTCTCCTGTTGGGATCCACGTCTCGGCCCTCTAACTTGGCTTTGACCCGCTTCCACACGCTAACTGCGTATGAATTCCTTTCCTGCACAGCTAAAGGTACAAAATAAATTAATTCAATTTTACATTCCTGCACTGAAGCCCACTGCAGTGTTTTGTATTTTTTTTGTTGTTGTTAGCAGTGGGGTTTGTGGTCACTTGGGGGTTTTGTTTGTTTGTTTAAGCCCTGTATTTACCTTTTCCCGTTTTAGGGTCCCTGGCTGTTTTTTTGGGACTACAGGCAACACTTTTGCCAGTTCCTGGGACTGTGCTTGGAGGAGTATCTGCTGACGTGGCAAGATTTTTCTGAATTAGCTTTCTTGCGTTCTGCGACATCACCTCTGGCTGAGTTTTCTGCCCTGTATTGCTACGTACAGCTGTAAAGAAAGTTTAAAAGTGCTTAAAGTATTCAAAATAATACATCATAGATGCATGAAAAAGCTCAATTAAATGTGTATCAAATGCAGCTTTCAGTACTTCACTACAAACACATTTTAAACTTGCACTTTAAACTCTACACCTGTTGTTTTCTCTTCAATCTTTCCATTTTCTAATTTCTTTTACTTCACAAACAAGAGGTTTTGTTCCATTGCAAAACATCTATTTACATTAAGCAAGTTTTTATGGGCTCTCTGCACCTCTAATTCTATCATTCTGTATGGCAGTCATAAAATGCAATTCTTGTTCTTGATAGAAAACAGGAACTCATGCTTAGTCCAAATATTGAGAATAATCCTTTAAACAGAAATAAATCCATGGCTCATGAGAAACTTTACTCATGTTTTTAACTGTAAAGTAATGAAAATTTTGCAAACATGCAAACATTTGCTGCGGAGACTAGCTTCAGAGCAGGTAAGACTGCACTGGGCAAGGGTTCTGGAGTGAAAAAGGCTGACCAAAAAGCCCTTTTAAGGCTTTTTTTTTTTAAAGCCAGCAACAGTGCTGTGCCTGTGCTGGGAGCTATCAGCTGGTGGGCGGGCTCTGAGTCAGCAGGGGTGGAGTTAGCACTTCAGCCGCTCAGTTTGAACTCCCCAAGAACGAGGTGTCATCAGCTGCCCTTGACGTTCACACCTGATAATAACCTTTAAATAGTCTCAGGGAGTCTCACATAGCATTCCAGCTGAGTAACTGTTATTGCTGCTCACTGAGA